CCACCACCACCACCTCCTCCACCACCTCTATGAGAGAAGATCACCAGGTCTTTTCGCCAGCAGAGCTGAGGGTGGGATTGAACTGCTATCTTTCTGTTTGTGGCCAAGTCTTTAATCATGGCACCACCTGGCCTACTCTGAACGCAGTACGTACTCAAAAACAATCTAGAGGGTTTCAAAGAGTTCATGGAAAGAGTCCATCCTCTCTCACTTCAGTTCTTCCACTCTCTGCAGCCCTGCAGATATGTCACATGAGTTTGCAGGTCTTACCTGACACATAAACCCACAGACAGCGTTTACGTGAGGAGGATACGACTGATCCATAGGTGCCCCAGAAGAGTTCCTCCCCGCAGGGGAAACCCCCAACTCAGTGCTTCTCGAAGTCAGAGCCCCTAGACCCAAGGCGTCCGCATCACCTGGGAAATGGATAGAAATACAAATCCCCAGCCCTGCTGCACATCAGCTAACTCCGAAACTCTGGGAGGCTAGGGGGATAGACTCCAGGTCGTCTCAAGGCCACCAGGTGATCCTGATCCCACGGCCCTGTGTACCTGGTCATTCTGGCCAACCCAGATCTCAGAGTGAACTCATTCTTGGCTTTAAAGAGAATTTCTTTTGCAATTAAAAAAAAATTTCACCGGGATCTTAGTAGCACGATGGACCACTTTTCCCAGCCATCTTCCCGGGAGACCAAATGCTATCACAGAACAACACTGTGCACCCGCGGACTGGAGACCATCTGTCATCACCCAGGCAGCACTACTGGGAGAAATCCCTGTTAACAAATCATTTCTCTACTGACGGGCGCAGGAGCTTGTCACACGGCATGTGTTCAATAAACCCTGCGGTGGAGTCTGATGCCTCTGTTCCCGCCAAGGGCACTTCTGAATGTAGCGTCTCACCTGGCCGGCTACGAAAATAAGCCGTGTGCACATTGTAAAGCTTCGTGATGTAACCACTCACTCTGACATCAAGGGATGCCAGCACCATACTTGACATGCACTCGACCTGCCTCTACAGCTTTCTCCCTGTGGAACTGAACCTCCCTGTGGAACGGAACCTCCCTGTGGAACGGAACCTCCCTGTTGAACGGAACCTCCCTGTGGAACGGAACCAGTGCTGTGCTGGAGGCTCTAAATAAATGACCTTATTTAGACTTATTTAATGATAAGGCACTTTTCCTTAATTTTATTATTTCACTGGACCTATTAACGTCAGTTAGCGGCATCGCTGTTGGATGGAGGAGGACATTGAGGTGCTTGCTTGGGGCACTTTGGTGCGGTACGAGACTGGAAGCCATTAAGACAGCAAGCCAAACTTGCTGCTGTGAAATTGATTCTGTCTCTGGCAGCCCCATTCATTATAGAGTAGAACTGATCCATAGGGTTTCTTGACTCTACTCACCCCAGATGAGGATTGCCAGGCATCTTCCCTGCAGAACCACAGGCTACTAACTAGCCTTAACACTGGTGACTTCGTGCAAACCATTTGTTCCAGCCACACGGGGACCTCTGGACAGTCATTTTGTTGTTACTCATGATGAACAAAAAGTAAAACCCACTACCATCGAGCCAATGAGAGTCCATGGTGATTCCACAGAACAAAGTTGAACTACCCCTTGGGGTTTCTGAGTCTTTAAGTCTTTATCGGAGCAGGCAGACTCATCTCTCTCCTGTGAGGTGACCAATAGGTTCAAACCAGTGAACTTGCAGCAAGGTGACCAGACGTCCCGCTGTTGAACAATTTTCCCCATGTTCTGCGGTGTTTTTAAAAAGTCCCAATTTTTGGAAAGAGTGTACAACAAGCTAGGGTATACGGTTTTTGGCTGCCATTTGGCTATTTCGCCAGGATATGAGTTTGATCAATGGTGTCCCGCTTTACCAACGTTAAAATCTGGTCACCTTAAGTTTGCAGCTCAGCGTGAACTGGCCATGCTATCAGGCATCCATGAACACAAGTAAAGGAATGTAGGGAGAAAGGTTTGAGTTATATGACAGGAAGGAGGGAAGGAACACGAGAGGCCTGGAGCAGGCAAACTTGGAAGAACTGCTTAACAGAAATTTTGGTGGAAACAGAAAGTTCCAGTTCTAGAACCTCCCATGCCACCAACTGTTAGGCCACTTCACAAGAATCCTCCACCAGAGCACCACGGAGGCAGCTGAAGGCCTCTATTCCCAGCACTGCACGCTGGGTAACGGTTAGCTGGCTGGCACTTTGGTTTTGGCTTTTCAATCGGAAGGAAGAAGATACTTTAAAGAAAAGACGAGAACCGTCAGGAGAAGGGCTCGAGGTGAATGAAGCAGTGTCCTATTCTCCTTCCTCGAGTCCCCACCGCGCTGGGGAGGGACACCCCTTCTCATGTTCTGCTGCTTCCTTTACCAGGGGAGTAAATCGGTGTCTTCCCTTCTCCTTTGCCAATTCCACATGTCCCACGTGTTCAGTGTAAAGGTATCGATGACATGAATCATGTGGTGCAACTACCCGCAGCACCATCACCCCGTTTCCACATTCCCATCATCCCACACAAAAGCCCACTGCTTCC